GGAATGCTTTTGGTTTTGTCTTGCAGGGATCACAGCAGAATTCTTATTGGGGATGGTCGAGGCAGAGTGTTCAGCTGGTCCGTAAGCGATCAGCCTGGCCGATCTGCAGCTGATCACTGGGTGAAGGACGAGGGAGGAGACAGTTGCTCGGGCTGCGCAGTCCGTTTTTCACTCACTGAGAGACGTCACCATTGCAGGAACTGTGGCCAGCTCTTCTGCCAGAAGTAAGCCAGCCAGCGGTCTCCTTTGGGCTCTTTTCCATACAGAATTTTAGGCTCAGTAAAACAGAGAACTCTGCTGAAAGACTGAGGTTTCCCTTGCCAAAACAACTGATGAAGTAAAAAACCCATCAGAATTCCAAGGAGGAATTGGACAAGACAGACCAGCCCCTTTATAAATCCAGTTAGCAAGACAGTTCAGGAGAGAATGAAATCTGCTTGCAGCTTTGAAAACCTCCCTGTCACCCATCTGGGAAAACCTCTAGACAAATGAATTCAGCAAAGAAAAAAAAAGACCAAAAAAACCCAAGAAATCTTCTTTTGCAGCAGCTAGTTGTTCTTGCCAGTCTACAAGCAACCTGGTCAAAATGTAAACTGTGAGCAGGACTGTAAGGACGCTGATTTAGGAGCCAGTAGCATGCAGCCTCAGACAGGAAAATGTATGACACAGAGGATATATGTGAGTTCCCCTTGCCCAGAAACTGAGGTGGGAGTCTCTTCTCTGGTCCACTGGGTCAGAGACGGTATTCCTAGTTTCGTCTCTGTAGCTATACCTTGAGTCTAAACTGATGACAACAGCTGTTTTTAAGCTACCTCTCAAGCAGAGTCATTGCGTTGATTCTGTGGTGATCATACAAGGTAAATTCTGCTTCTGCCACGCTGCGTTGCATTTCTTTGTCAAGATAAGTTTGGACAGTTTTCTGGTATTTGAAGTCATGATGAGAATTTCCACACCTGGACAGAAGATGGCCAGGTCAGGAGAGGACCTGTGTTGACAACGATGTTTGTTTTTCTCTACAGGTGCAGCAGGTTTCAGTCCGAAATCAAGCGTCTGAAGATTTCATCACCAGTCAGAGTCTGCCAGAACTGCTTCTACAACCTGCAGCATGAGCGGGGTTCAGAGGAGGGGCCCAGAAATTGATAGGGTCCTGGCAAACGGAGACCCCATCCGGCCCCGCCGTCGCTCCAAGAACTAGTGAGAGTATCGTGCAGTGATCGGAAGGGATTAGGATATTGTCTGTTTACACTTAAGTTTATACCGAGTTTTAAGCACTAAAAGTAAAAAGGGATCATTGAATTGATTTGTGTTGACAGAAGGTAAATGAGGCTAACGGCATAATTAAGTGAAGAGCAAGGCCCAGGAAGACATGATTAATAACCACAAATCCAATAGAACTGTCAACCCCTAAACCTATGTCGACATGGCTATCGAGAAGATCCTCACTTATCCTAAACACCCGTTCTTGTCTTGATTTTGTAGAGCTAGTCATCTTTATCGGGGGGAGGGGGAGGGGAAGGCTTTTTAGAAGATAGTTGTAAATCTGCCTTCTTCGCAAGCAACTGTGTATATTGTAAATAGGTATAATGGCCTTTTTATCTAATATGAACTTAACTGCTTGTTACATGGGACTTCAGATTAACCACTGTACTTTGTGTGGCACCTTTATCTCATCTATCGATTTAAATACGAATGTTTAAAAAAAAAACAAAAACAAAAACCAGAAAAGTCGAAGGCATTATGCGTATTTCTGTTAAAAATCCTGTCTGTGCATGTTTGTTCTTTCAGTTGCCCACAGTATTTTAATTTAAGTATGGCTATTCATAGAATTACATGGATTTTTTCAAAGAAAACATTTTTGAGAATAGGACTTGGAGTATTTTATTCTAGCTGTAAGATAAACAGGAACTAAATTGTACACTTGTGTTGCATTTTATACCAAACTATTTACCACCTCAGTGTTGTTCATATTTAATAAGGCCTCTTTTATACATATGTCAGAGCTGCAGTTTTGTTAATTACTTAATGTTCATTAGCAGCTGATTCATGCGGTGCAAGAACCAGCTTTTACCTTCTTTAGTCAATAGCAATTGGCTTGCATATAGGTACCGAAGGAATTCCTTGTGCATAAAATTTAACCGCTGTTGTCCTGTAGCTTGTTTGCAAAAAAAATTTTGGAATAGGCATTGCTCTAAACCAGGGTGATATTAGTCATGTCAGAAATGCTTCTAAGAGCTCTCCTTGTGTTTCAGCACATGGCATCAACTTGAGGACAGCAGTCAATTTTTCCATTATGGTTTTTAAGTTCTGATATGAATTTAATTGCAGTATTTTTTTACTACTCTGTCATTTATTTTGCACTACATGTGGGATGAAGTAGAGACACTGCTATCCACTGGGATCGGAATGTGCGCATCGGATGGGCCCACGGACTTAATTTCTGAATGAGGTCTTGCCAGTGGGTTTTTGGTTGGGCGGGGTGGGGGGGGGGGGCACAGGGGGCAGGCTGGTGTTTGGTTTGTTTTTTAACGTATGTGTATATATTTTGTAAATGGGTGACAAACTGATCTAGATCTAGGTATATTCACAATGGATTCTTTTAAATAGCGGTAAGGATATGACCCAAACCAACAGAAGACAGATGGCCCCACTTTGGCTTTGCTAATACTTCAGTGAGTGTCTTCACTCGAGACGATGAGGTTATCCTTCACTTGGAATGATTTGGGCAGAGTCTGGAGGCCTTGGGACAGCAAATGGTTAAAACTGGCACTGTCGTTGGAATTGCACCATCGAAAACGCCAGACCCTCTGTGGTGGTGTGAGCTCCTTCCAGAAGGTTCTTGGCACTGCAGGGCCACACCTGTCTTCTCTTGATTTGAGCTTCTAGCAGTGAATAATTTGTTAATCCTGACCACTTACTATTTACCCTGGTATCACATGTTTATGCACTGAAGGTTAAATATGTATTTTGATACATGTTTGTTTATTATGTACGTGCTGGTCTGTAAAATGAGATATATTCCTGTTTTGGTATGTATACTAGGTCCCCAAATGAACAGAAAGGCTTCTCTAGAGCCCTTGCACACTGTTGAGTAAATGCAGGTTTGTTGAGATTAGCTGACCCAAATAGATCCCTTTGGATCCAAAGAGTAATGATCAAGTAGCCCCGCTGCATGGCTACCCTGACAGATTTGTCCCTAAAAACAAGAAGAGGTCCTCAGTACGCATGGGCGGAGCACTAGAATTCCTGTGTTCAGCTGTTCTCTCTAACGTTGCCTTCACCCTTCCCAAAATGATGCGAAACCAGCATAGTTCAGAAGACAGGCTAGTGGCCTTAACGTTTTCACTTTGAAGAAAAGGCTCTTTTAACAACTCTTAAACACCTCTGAGTCCACAGAGTTTTCTTCCCCTTGCCTCCAGATTTCAAATCAAAACCAAATTTAAGGAAGTCTTCTTTTGTACGGACTGGAACTTGTACAGCCACATAATTAAACCCTAATAAAAACAAGGTTTATGACAGTAACACTGATATGATGTAAGCACTAAAGCAAACTGTTGGCATATAGTACTAATGCGGGGTCGTGACGATAGTGGGCCGTCAGTGAAGAAGAGCTAGTTGACTGCGTTCAGCTACATCAGCCCATTGTACGGGTGATGTTCTACGCTTTTGATGTTTGGCAGCGTACTAAAAAAATCAAGGTCATTATTCCTTACAAATTCTGTAGTGTAGAGGTTAGTCCCAATTCACATTTTGGCAAAACAAATCACCACAGCCCTCTGACTTAATTCTTTGGTTGTGCTGTTCCAAAAACCACATTATTGCTTGTAGGAGGTGGAGGGGAAAAACCACACCTGCTCGTAATTCCTCTGGCAGCTGGTGCTGTGGGCAACTGTTTTGTTCACTTGGGAGTGGGTTTTTTTTTCCATTTCTTTCAAGCTTCTAATGCAAATACCTGCTTTGTTTTCCATGTAAAAATCTGTTGAGCAAAACTATACTCATGTACACTAACATTAGTAGACTGTATTCTCTGCAAGTACCTCACATGTCTTCTCCTGCCTTGTTCTTTGTAGTATACTTACTCATGTACTCTTAACATTCGTACGTAGTGTGCAACTGTAACGTCATGCTTATGAGAGGGGGGTTGGCTGCTTCCAGCCGACATTCATCAGTTCAATAGCAAAACACTTTAGATAAGTTATTTTGCACTTTCTTATGTATAAAATGGGTAGAAACTTATATTTGCTTTGTATCATTTAAAGACTCCTTTTGTTTTGGTAAATGAACTGTGTATAAAATACTTATGCAGTTAAAACTGTTTTTAGAAAGTATTTTTAATTTCAGCAAGTTTGGTTACTTGTTGCATGACTATTAACACAGCTGACTTTTTGTGTCAGTGCAATGTATATTTTTTTTGTCCTGTTATTAACTTGTAAGCCCTAGTTAAATGGCCATTTATTTGTACAGCATCAGGAGTAAATTGAAGATAACTGGCTAAGACTGGAGTGTGGAATTTTGTACTATATTGCAGAATCCAATATCTGTTTTTTGGTGGTTACGTAAAAGGCCTGACGATTTACTATCTAGTGTGCAATCTGTGATATCTGAATGTTCATTGTATATTTGTCTCCAATGCAAAAAGTTAGAGTAACACAATTACAACAATACATGATTAAATGCAATAGTTCAGGTACTGAAGTATTTTTTTCATTTCAAATAAATACCTGCTATTTACCACCAAAAAGCTGTTTTGCATTTGTTGGAAAGACGCAACATTTGCAGCTGAATAAACGTTTTTAACATGGGAGTGGTAACTGATGAGTACCATGTTTCTGTATCGTCACGAGGGGTATACTTCTCTTACTTGTTACGGTTTTGCTTTCTGAACGGGAGTACGGTCATCCACGACGATGCAGTGTGAAATCACCTGTCTTTGTTTATTCTTTTTTGCTTTCTAAGTGTCGTTGTAGAGTGTGAAGCCAGCGGAGTTTGACAGTGTGTAGAAGAATAGACTGTACCAATATAGAGAAGGCAGACAGAAAAGAGTAATTTAAGTCATGCTGGATGAGGACAGTGGAAGACGAGGAAGTATCAAAATCCAATTTAAATCATCTTCCCCAAAGGAGAGAATGACTACTAGAGCAGAACTTGGCCTTTTCTGGTGAGAAACAGCCTAAGATCCCCAAATGCTGAAGTATTTTACTAATTCTTCGATCCATTTTTATACCTTTTTCTAAGCTGGTAATGCTAAAGAGTGTGGGTTTTCCCGTTGGCAGTTAGTTAGGTGCCAACACTGGTGGCTAACAGTTTTTCTGTAAGTAAAAACCAGGCTTTGATGCCGTTGGGCCTACCATGTTCCTTGGCTGATGAGCATCAGAATTGACATTGCATTCTTGGTATTTGACGGTAAGTGATCTCTTCGGTTGTAAAAGAAAAGGAACTTCTACCAATGAATGTAACTAACTGTGCTGACTGCATTTGGCATTAACGCCTTCCATGAGCTCTTTGGGGTTTTTAGTTACATTTAAGTGTGCTTTCAAGCAGTAGTAATTGTTGTGGCCTTCCTAAGCCATACCTCAGTTATATAGCACTGGTAATGTCCACTTTTCATAGGTTCAAGTATTTCTCACTCGGGGGTTTCCATATTTTAAATCTTTTCATATGGGGCAGATTACTTGTCAGCATGACACTTGGGAGCATGCTGTTCTGCTGTCATGGAGCAGGTCAGAAGTGGACTTCATCAAAGCGTTTTGAGCCAGGAAACGATGCTGACTGCGGGCTGTAGGGTCTGGCATCGCTGCCCACTCTTTGCAGGGGGAGATGCCCTCCTACCAGTAGCTCCAGGCTGGTCTGTGCAGCTGGATCGTTCGGTATGCGGTATTTCGGCCTCATTTTCCCATGGGCAAAAAATGAGTTGGCCATCTTTTTTTGTGCCGTATGAAGGTAGCTAACTTGTGCTTAACTTGGTACAGCATTTTGAGTGATGCAAAGAACTTGCAGTTTGCATCGTGCCCTGCCTACAGAGTGCACCGCAGCGCCTCGTCTCCACAGCTTGTGAAGTCGGATGAGAGGGCATCGCTCAGCTTTGGGAAGGTGAGCCAGCCTCGCGGGGTGGTTTTGTGCCTTTGGGAAGGTGAGCCAGCCTCATGGGGTGGCTTTGTGGCCTTCATGTGCCCTCAGCACCCCAACATGCACACGCTCCTCTCCACCTCAGCCAGCCTGTGGCGTGTCCAAAAAAACTCCCTTCTGCAGGTCTCTGAGAGAAGCCTGCCTTGATGAAACAAAAAGGAAAAAAAATTGCCCTTTGAGTTTTCTGCGTGGGTTGTGGAGGCAGAGGGTGAGTGCTGTGGTGGGAGCTGGGCAGACAGGGCTGCCCCGCTGCCTCTGCTATCCCCCAGGCATCGGGATGTGGAGGTGCCAGGTGGCAGTGTGGGGAGGCGGTGGGGGCCACAGTCCTGAGGGACATTTTGACTGCAAAAGCGCGGTCCCATCCCTGCCTCAGGGAGCGCAGGCTTTGGTGTTGTCATTAAGATAGTGTAATTTTGAGTCCCTGTTGCAAACCAGGGGTTGGGAGAGTTAGCTTGGCTCCTTGCCGTCCAGACGAACATGAAGGTAATTAATTAGGAAAGCCATAGCCTTCTGTGAGGTCCCTGCACTAAACCTGGGTCTGGGAGAAGGAAGAACGGTGCCCTGTGCAATTCGTGG